CAAATGTGATGCCGAGAAAGGGAAAAGTCACTTCGTGCGAACAACTTCACCAAGTGGAAAATGGGATTAAATCAGAATTTTCCTAAAAATTGATTCTAAGATTCGAGGATGAATTTACTTAAATGATCGTGATGTCAATGCACTGGAGATTAGGGAAACTAGACTTGAATCCAATTTTCCAAAAGAATTAATTTTTATCCATTGATCACATTAATTGGATTGGTAGAGATAGATATAGAAATAAGCCTTGCTTGTGGGATTCGCTTTTACATTATTTAATTAGAGATACGGTACGTTATATCAAACCTTTTTTGTTTACAATAAGCAAGATACGAGAACATTTACAATAAGGCCAAACCGGTAAATGTAGTGACACAGGTCGCAATACCTTTGAAATAACTAACTGTTTTTTTATATGTGCATGCCTACACTATATAGTGATATTTTCTGATTTCCCGCATTCTGATTGGCCGCAGCAGCGGTCAAATATTTACGATGTCTTGATCGTGGTCCAAAAAAGTTATATTTTAGCAACAAACCGAGGAGTAAACACAATTTTTAAACTCGAAACACTACCCACAAAGTTGGAAATCCAGCCTATCGATACTAAAGATATTAAAATACAGTGAATTGACTTTAGTGGACTTATTCTAAGCCCAAAATGTATTTTTTCCCCGACCAAAATTGCGAAAAACACTCGAAAAACAAATATAAACATCGAAAAACGGCCAGGCAGTGTTTTTTATGTTCCACATATACATTCAGCTATTCTTCGAAAAATATACGTTTAAATATAAATACTACATCATATAACTTGTCCTCAAACATACAAAATAAAAGATTCTTTAAACAGCAGTATGTAAGCATAATTCCAGCCCTTAATTCGATCAAACATTGTTTATAATTAAATATACTGTAATGAACAAAATGTTTTCGACGACTAAAATTTGTAGTTGTGTGTCAAAAACATTTTTCAAGCATGTTCATAATGTAAAACGACCGAAAACTAAATAATTTTAATCAGTTTACCTTCTGTGTTGTCTTGTTAAGCAGAAAAGCATCTATTGCATTGAAACTAAGGGCTAAATTATTCATATATTGTAATTATTCAAATCTTTTCAATGATTTATTGTATTGGTAGATTCAAGTATATTTGAATTCTTTAAAGTCTAGCGATCACAAATATATGTAAATTCTGTAGTCTGAATTTTCGAAAAGCAATGAACAATTGCGCTTTCGAAGAGCAATGAACTCAGGAAAATCATGACAAAATCATAGTCACATATATTCGAATGTTGGGATAATGAAACAGCTAAAAACCTAAAATAATGCATAAAAATTAAATGATGTAAATGTTTTAGTTGTAACTAAGAAAAACTTATCGAGAAACAAGTGAAACTTCCAGAATTTATGTAACTAAGAAAAACTTATCGAGAAACAAGTGAAACTTCCAGAATTTATGTGATCCAGAACTGTTTTTGTACTGAACCGTACTGAATCATTGAGGCCCGGTTTAGACGCCGTAGTTTTCATGAACCGATCTTAATCCATATTTTAGTCGATTAAAATAGGCTTCTATTTAATTTTGATTCAAACAGGCGTACTTTCCACGAGCTGTACTTTAATTAACTGCTCTTCCTCCCTTCGAATCCTGGGGCGAGTGACAATCATAACAACAAAAAGAAGCGGCCTTTTTTAAATATAATCTCATACGATCTTCGTTTAGTTCTCGTAATTGATTTAATAAATATTTAATGAAATAGTTTGCCCTAAGAGCATATAATGCTCATCTAGAGGGCTTACTATTACACATTTACAACGATATACATAAAACAGGCACTCAACGATTTTTACAAATACGATATACATTATTAAACTAGCATTTCAAATCAGTTCATTATAAATAGATAGAATAATAATTGGTTATCAAGCATTCAAGGTTCTAAAAGAGCAAATCGACCACTTTTTTTTTAATGAAACTTACATTGGACACTATGAAAAATTCCGATATTTTCATTTTCTGTGAGTTGCGAAGATCCAGTCAAAAAAAGCCTTAATAACTGCAATTCAGTAATTGCATTCCATCTATCGGCAAGTATATGAGCAGCAGAGGAGAGCAACTTCAGTCTAGGAGCAGCAAACAACGGACAGTGAAGAAAATAATGATTAATACTTTCAACTTCAATTTCAAAACCACACAAACATTCGGGAGAGGGTTTACACCCAATTTTAAACAGATAGTAATTTAAAGCACAAACATTTAAACGTAATCGAGTATGAATGATAGAGGAATATATGTCAAGAGAAAAATTAAATAACCTCTTGTAATGAGGAACGTCAAAAATTCTAAACAAAGCGTATTTAAACGAAATTACTGACTCGAGATTGCGCACTGAAAAATCAATATCATTCCACGCCATAGTAGTGGAAGGAAAAAAATATTTTAAAACGCTCAGTACGCACTGGAAATAAAGTATAATCCGAACACGACCTCAAGGAATAATGAGTTCGCTCAAACACCTGAGATGGCACTAGCTCTTTTAAATAATTTGGAGTTAAATTATTAACAATTTTAAAATAGAATATCAACTTGTGAATAGAACGTCTAGTTTTCATATCTTCCCAACCGATTTCGTGCATCAGAGAACGCCTACTAGTTCCCTTCATAGCACCCGTTACAATTTTTGCTGCTTCGTATTGCACAAACTCGAGGAGATCGCCCTCGCCTTCCGTACAGCCATCCCACAAGACATCTCCATACTCCATTAATGGACGAATAAGAGATTTGTATAATCTGTTCAAAGTCCCCCTATTATAACAATGTGGTAATCCCATTAGCACATAATTTCAATATCTTATTACCGATACCATCGCAACCACAAGCCTTACTAGTATCCACGCTTTTCAGTAGGTCGTTAATTTCACGCTCAGATGCATAAATATTTGACAAAGTAACAGTAGTTTGAAAATGGGAAATATTTGATGGAAGGATAGCACAACTGTCATCAATAAGGCATTGAGCATATAAATAATCATTAAAAAGTTTGGCTTTTTCTTTAGAACAACAAATATACCTTGCACCTTCAATCAAGGTTGGGATTGACATTTGCATTTTCGAACCATAAAGAGATTTCACTATGCCCCACCAGCATTTTGAACTAGTTGATGAATCTTGCAATCGTTCGTTCAAGTTAGAAAAATATTTATTTTTATTTGAGCGAATTAAAGATGTTGTCAAATTTCTTTGCTGCCTGTATCTGTCCCAAGAAGTCACAGTTCTCTTTTTAACATGAATCTTAAGTAACCTGTTTCTTTTTCTTATGGCTCGCCTAATACTATTGTTCATCCAGGGTTTGTCTCGAGGGCGTATTGTGACAAATTTGTGACAGACATGGGACTCAATAACGTTATAGAAACAGATAAACCATTTTTCATAAATTAAATTTATGTCATTATAATGTGATGTTGGAACATCCAAATTGGCTGTCACTAAAGCATTGCACAATTCCGATTCATTAACATTGTTAAAATCCCAAACAAAACGTTTATAGCATTTTTGTTTTGTGAAAGTTATGCTCATTTTTGCAAAAATCAAAGAATGATCACAATTGGATGGCGGGCTGAGAGTACCAGTATGAACAAAATATCCTGGACAGTTGGTGATAATGAGATCTAAAATAGTTGCTCCGTGCTGTGTAATTCTAGTTGGCTCAGTGATTACTTGAAATAAGTTGTTATATTCCATCCAACGATACAAAAGGCAACCGAAATCAGTACTTTCAGATTGATTTGTCGAGTCATAATGAGCGTTAAAATCACCGATAATAGTAATAAGACTATTAGGCTGAATATTGATTTTATCTAAACATCGTTGCAAATTATCTAGAAACCTAGCATTAGAAATTAAATTACCTCCAGGCGGTCTATAGCAAATTCCGCAGATAAGATTGTTAGAACCTACTTTCAATTCTACCCACAGCAATTCGAAGGCGCATGTCTCTAAATCATTTCTATGTTTGACAGCAATTGAAGTTGTAACATAAACAGCTACACCTCCTGAGCGCCTACCGTCTGATCTATCAAGACGAATCAGTGGACAATAGCCAGGAATACTAATCAGGTCATTAGAAATAGAATCATTCAACCATGTCTCTGATAATGCAAAAAGATCAAATTTATGATTTAAGATGGCAGAAGCGATCTCCCCAAATTTGTTAGGTGCATTCAAACTACGGATGTTTAAGTGTGCAATTTTCAAATTAATATTTTGGTAAGGTCCAGGGTTTAACTCCACGCCAAAGCATATCATAAAGAAAAGAGCAAGTACCATCAAAAGTTGCAGGCAACCCACCATAATTTAATGCAGGCAACCCACCATAAGTTCACCGTCGAAACTGAAATGCGGCAATTAAATAGTCCGATAGCTGCTCTATAACATTCCAAACTAACCCCCATCAATATGGAGGCTTAAATCATAATAATTAAAGCTACTCACCTGCTGCTGCTCCGAAATATAATTTGATGAAAAAAAATAGACTAATAATAATATACGTAAACTGACACACAAAATGCTAATTAAAGAAAACAACAAAGCAATGCCATGATTATTAACCATAGCAAACAAGTTATCATGCAAATCTCAGGAATTCAAAGATGTATGGCTAAGGGCCCATAGCATACCATGCAGTTAACAAAAATCATAGCGTTCAAAGTCCTCCATGTTTCTAATCCGATAGATTTTATCGTCTAACTCACCACGAACAAAAAGTTTACCATCAGAAAACCAAGTTGACTTAATATTGCTCGAATATTTGCGAGCATGACTGAACAATTTCATATTAATGTAAGTTAGGTCTTCATTGATATAAAAATCGGAATCCTTTAAAAGTTTTTTCTGAATACAAACCATCAATTTAGAATTATAATTCATGAATTTCACTAATATAGCTCTGGTTTTCCCTTCAGATTTTTTTCCAACTCGGTGTGCACGGTCAATAGTGTTAGCAGCTAGGCACGACGATCCCCAATTTCTCCTTGCAGAATGCAACGATTAACTCAGTGCAATTTTCATCTTTCTTCTCTTCAATGCCGATAAATCTCAAATTATATTTTCTAGAGTATTGTTCGTTATCATTAGCTTTATTTATAGCAAGTTTAGCTTCCTCTTGCGCTGCTGACAGACGAGATTCAAGGTCGCTAATCTTCTTTTCTAAATCGGTTACTCGTGGCACGTATTGTTCAAATTCAGCTAGCTTCTTGTTAAAAGGCTCAACGGCGCTCGCCACTGCTGCATCTACACTTTTTTTGAGAGCAAGTTGAAAAGATTCTTCCGCAACCATGTTCGAAACCACTCTCCTCATAATATCCATAAAGGATTCCGATTCAAAATAGCCACGAAGCTTATCGTTAATAGAACCGCTTGACTCATTCGACCTTGTGACACGTTGCATTTCGAGATGTTTTGGACAGATTTTAGATAAATGAGTAAATGTAAAAGCTTCAAAAACAACAAACTAAAGAGCTACCAAGCATTAGTATTAATATACTGTAGAGGACTTGAAATTACCCAATTAAAACGAAAATATCTTATGAAGATTCGACGAGCTCAAATGCACACGTCCATACTGCTTGAGTGCTTGCTTGAGTAATTAAACAGCTTTTTAAAAAGCTATGCAAACCAAGCATGACGCCTGGACGGAAAAGGGTTATTTTCATTAAAAAATTGATTGCAAACAAACAAAACAAGAAGAAAATTGTTGCATAATATCTTGATGGCCACAGTTACCCTGAGACGAATAATGTTGCAAACTGCCATTCTGTACTGCCATATTGCCGTACTGCCGATGTTGCGATACACATCGAATGCATTTTTATGTTATTTCCCTTTACATATGATACAGGCAGGGCATGTTGTCAAATGATTCCCGTGTGCGTGCTAATTTTCGCGCGCGCGAGAACAAGAAGAATGAACATTTTACTATTCTCATGATTTATTTTAAGCATTTAGCACGGCTCGTGACAAGCACGGCTGTATGAATCAACCCGTGCTGTAGCCGTGAAACGCGCTTGAACCAGGCAAACCTTTTAATTCAGCCTTGTTTAATATAAATTACAGTGCTTATTTGATTCAGACGCCATGCTTCTCGTGTACTTAATTCAGTTAATTAATTTCGGCTCATGAATAGTGCGGGATCTAAAACCGAACATGAATCGCCGCAACTGTTTAGGTTTGGAAACATGGCCTTTTTAACTATATAACTGGGGGTGGGGGCAAAATCCTCCAGCCCCCATGGTGGGATGTGTCAGTAATTTCAGCGCTAATCGCCTAAGTTTTGAAATGTATATGTACTTCAATATTTACGCACAGCACACGGTTTTAAAACGCTGTTTATAAGATTTCATATGGATTTGTCACATATCTTTATAAGAGACTGTCTTAAAAGGGTGCCAAATATACGAAGAGAGGGCCAAATTTCTTAGGAAATATGGCCAGGGCAGACAAATTTAAGGGGGGGGGGGGACTAAATATCCTGGTATACTGGACTTTTTCATTCCAATTCCTGTTTTCGATTTTACCTTCATTTCCAGGATGTTATATTCCTGAAAACCTGGGTATGGAGAATAACAAGATTTTGGGGCGACAGTTGAGTGCTTCGCACGAAATGTCGGACCTGACAGCCCCGCGTGGCAGACTGAACGGATATGGTTGGCGAGGAGGAAGCAGTATTGACATGTGGTATCAGGTTGACTTCATAAAACGTGCTAAGGTGACCGCCATAAAAACGCAAGGCGAAACATCCTCCTACTATGTCAAGATATTCAAGCTTTCATACAGCAATAATGGAATTGATTTCCATGAATATGTGGATGTCATGAGGACAAAGGTATGATAATATTACACTTTGAAAGTTTAAAATAACGGGAAATACATATAGCTTCTGTAGGTTTTGTACTAACATTTGGAAAAGCGAAATAAAATAGCTATCAGTTTTTGAGTTTTCTCCGAAACTATTTTAACAAAATCGTAGTGTTCTTCCTTGCACATATTTAACATTGAGTGAGGTTGAACATGATATGAATAATTATTATTTATTTAAAAAGAATCAAGGTTTCTGATTGGCTAACAACCAACTGTGAAATCGTCATATGAAGTTAACAGCTGACCAAATATGGAGTTTTGACATAATATTCAACGGAATGACGTCATAACGAAAATATCTGAAAAAATCACATGCAATGTTATGACGTCATCCGATGGAAATACGAAAACCAAATGTAGAAACACGACCAAAAGTCCAAAGCAATATGGCTCCACCTTCGGCCCACTGATCTGTACCAATAATATACTGGATAACGCATCTCTTAATAATTTCGGGCAAAGATGGGTTTGCATGATCTGGTTTCTCTTCTGTTGTTATTGATTGTCAATGTTCATGATTCCATAGATTATTTGTAGAAGAATACCATATCTAAGAATTCGTGCCAATAAGAAAAAAGAATGAGATCTAAAAGTGAAAGTCTCTGGTTATAGGTGATATCACAACGGATGGGTAGATCCAAAACACACTTTGTCGCACGTCTTTGCAGCCTTTTCGTGCGTTGGATTAAATTCACAGTTTGTGGCGCCTAGATTGGGGATCCTTAGCATAGCTAAGAGACCTTACGATTTTAGGACGGCAAGGCGACGGCGACGGCCAAAACAAACTCCTTGAAATAAATGGCAGAAAAGATAGTTTGTCGTACATTATCAATCGTATGAATTTAATACAGTTTTAGAAGTTGAAGACATGGGTTTTATGTTTGGGAAGAGTTCTGCTGTACCCGGTCTGAAGTTGCATTTGTTGTGGCTTGGAATGCAGCCGTTGTATCAAGACGTGAAAATCTGTGACTTGGCGTTGTAAACAGAGCGAGAACAATGTCTAAATTATTCATATATTGCAATTACTCAATTCTTTTCAATGATCTATTGCATTGGTAGCCGTTGCCGTCGCGTTGCCGTCCTAAAATCGTAAGGTCTCTAATATGCTGTTCGACGAACTGGGGTGTCTTTGATCTTTAATTAAAGTTTGGTCTTTGGTCGTGTTTCCACATTTCGTATTGACATGATTTTATTCATATTCAACGTTATGACGTCACTCCGTTAAATATAATATCAAAACTCCATATTTGGTCAGCATTAAGTTGATATGACGATTTCACCGTTGGTTATTTTTAGGTGAACTACGATTGGTAAATAACATTATTGATGTAATAAACACCCGGCTTGGGCGTTTATTAAATTTCCGTATTTTAAGGGGGGAGGGGCGTTTATTAGAAAAGAAGCGCCTATAATAGGCAGGCGTTTATTCTTACACCGACAGTTTTACGCTATCTATTTCTTGTCCGCCATGAGTGCAGTTTAAAAAAACAATGTTATGATCAACTTTGATATTTCACGTAATTGTTACAGCATTTTGCAAATAGTGAACAAAAGACAAAACTCTTCAAGCTTAATAAAGGCTCTTACGCAATTTAGCTGGAGGACACTCGAAGACTTTATACCTTGGCCAGGGAATTATGCTATGTATCATGCATAAATTATACAATAAGCTATATTACCCATTCTGTTTACTCTGTCCGGCAAAGCAAGGCAGACGTTTGCTCATTCTCATCCAATTTTAATATAAATTTAAACAAAATTAATCAATTTGTCGTTACGCCCAGGGACGCCGCAATTGGGGCAGGAGGGGCAGGAGGGGCAGCTGACCCCGTTGCCCTTTACCAGGAGGGACAAGGGGGGCAAAGGTGCCCTTTCAATTTAAAGGATTGCCTTAGCGAAATAGCGAAGTGTCAGAAATGTTAGTGCAAGTCTTTTACGAATAATATTTGCTTCAGAAAACGCAAGAAATGCAGTAATCGAGCTTCAAGAATAGGACAATCGCCTGGCGGAGAATCCACTCACACCCCTATCATCCAATAAATAGAAAACATGATTAGGCAAAGTTCAACTCCCGATGCTTTGCAAACATCTCTTAGTATATATCAATTCAAAAGTGCCCTTTCACAAAAATCTGCCCCCCTTGCCTTCACATCGTTCCGGCGTCCCTGGTTACGCCATGTCCATTTACCCCGTCAGTCCAGCTTCCAAATTATTCGTTCTTTTTGCGTCGATTCGTGCATTGTTCACTCAATGACCTTTGAACAGAGAACCAAATCAATGTAGGTCTAGTATGTCTTTGCATGTCTTAATATCTAGGAACGCAAGGTTCCACGGCGTGGAAGTACCACGGAAAATAGCTTACTGCGCATCAACCTCGCAAGCCAGGCTCTCCACTCCACCTCCACTTCCCTCCCTAACACGCTTTAGCAGAGACCCTGGTTCAGGCTGGGCACGTGACACCTTAACTCACTTTGTCTTGTGGGAGCTAGGGTAGGCTGAAGTATGTGAAATACAAAGAACAAGTTTCTAGGAGTGTTTATTTTGAATATCGTACAATGGATTAATCAAAATGTATGATGTACTTTAGTTGTTTAGATTTTTGTACAGTGAAATGTGTAACTGGAATATAGTATTATTTTTAAAGCTTCACTGGTAAGAGCGATAGCCGGATAAAAAACGCAGCCGCTTTCAATGACTGATTCCGTTTTAAAACAAATTCTAAATTTACCGCTTTTAGTTTTATCTGTTATCGAACTAAAAAAAGATTAATGTAGTGCTTGACCTTGTCCTTGGGCGAGTAAAAAGAAGCATGCGTTCGAACGGATACAATATGACAAATGTAACTGGCGAGACAAACGCAGAGAGACAAACGTAAACAAACATGAATTATTACAGTAAACGTAAATTTACATTTTATAGCCCATATGGCTGAGTGGGTAACTGTATAACTAATCTCGATCAAACCATCTCTTTTTTTCGCCGAAAATACCAATAAAATGTAGTCCAACATTTAATACACAGACACAGTCACAGGTTCGCAATCATATGCAAATCCTGGCTATAGAGCGCGATCCATTAAATTGTGAAATATGAAGTGGACATCCAAATAAAATCAGCTCGGACATGAAAGTGGAATAGTAAAGAATGGTATAAAACGTTTGAATCACTCTAATGAGTTAAATGGTACGACACTTTATATCTCTAGCTCTGTGTATTAAAGTGAACAGCAACTGAAATCTGAATACATAAAAGAAGGTGTAGCAAAACAATATCGTAACTGACATACAGCTGAGTAAACACGAGAAAACGCTAAATTGCTATAATTAATATTTTCCATATATCTTTGCCAAAGCAACTTAATTATATTACATTTTGATATACTATACTATACTTTATTGATCATTTACATTCGTGATGGTCCAAGTTAATAGTCTTTAACAGTTCAGTTCAGTATGAGTATACATATTGGTTGGAAATAGAATGATTTGGCTGACCCGGCTTGTTTATAAAATTGCGAGTCGACACCATTTAGTACAAAACAACATAGGATACAACAAAGGCTTACAAAGCCTTGGAAATATAGATATGAATTAATACTTGTTTTACATAATTCTATTAACAGGCCATACACTTTTGTTACCTTTGTGTCCATGGAATGTGGGTCATCTAGAATTTTGAAGAATAGGGAATTATAAACAAGTGTTGGCCGATTATCTATCTAGCCGAACGCAAAGACATGCAGTTGCAGTTTGATTTCCTTTCTCATTGTAATTGTAGTCCATTAATTGTAAATTAAACATCTTGAATTCTGAGTGTTGTTATAGCCATCTTAGGCTTGAAATACCGTACAGACTATGTAGATGTCTTCAAAATGTCTTCTGCGAAGAACCGATCGCGAGGAACTGAATCGGTTGGCATCACTGATCAGTGGCACATAGTCAGTGGTTCGCATACGGCAATTGCCTGATTTATTGTCTTTGTTTTGGAGTATTTTTGCCTTTGGCAGTTTGGCTTTTCCTGTATACAGTATATCGCATTACGATCCGTTCAGAATGCATTTACTGTGAACTGTGAACAATGATTTACTCAGCCACTTCTCCGTAAGTAACATACAGGGCGCTAATTAAAACACCCCGAATTCTGGGGTGTCACGTGCCCAGCCTGAATCAAGGTCTCTGCTGGAGCGTGTTAGGGTGGGAAGCGGAAGTACAGAGCCTGGCTTGCGAGGTTGACTGCGCAGTTTCGATCACGCACGACCACATTGCACTGCGCTAGAATATTGTGAAATAAAAATCCCCATCTACGCAAATTAGATCTGCTGCGTCGCTTGCTCGCTTCAGGCTTGCTCGCTTCCGCAGAAATAAAGAATAATTAATTATTATAGAATTATTAGACGTGTAATAAGTACGTTGTGCACTTTATCAAACAACAAAGTGTGTATTATTACACTTAATGTCTGCTCCCAAGGAAAATAGTTAGTTTTCCAGATGATCTTGATACGCGGAAAAGTACTGGCACTAGTTGTCAAATAGAAATCCATTTTATGATTAAAACAACTGAATATCTCCTGTAATATACTTTATTTCGATTCCATATTTTTGTCAGAGGTATAGTTCTCATAAGCAAACATAATTACAAATTTTCAACTAGTTTCATAAAGAATAACGACAGATATAATTGACTGAGTACATCAAAATGGATTTCTGTTCGGACAACCCTTTCTGAACGCTGATTGGCTAAAATACGAACACGAGATCACCTGGTTGTTTTACCAAGAGTCTCAATGTTGAGATTTGAGGGAAGCGCAACTATCTATGTATACAGGGTGTATAAAAAAAACTGAACAGATTTGAAATTGCTCTCAATTTCGCAAAACACCTATTTGTATCCGTTATATATATATATATATATATATATATATATATATATATATATATATATATATATATATATATAGCTTCTTTGGGTACTTATAATGTAGAATAATGAAAAAAATTTCACGAACTCAAATTTTGTGAACCAGGGGGGGGTGTGTCTTTTCTAACAAACTAAAAATGGCTCGCGCACAAAATTTAAAAGCTGTAATCATATTTTGAGTTAATAGATAGAAACTTTGTCGGGTTTTTAATTACTGTACAAAATTTCAGACAATTTGGTTAAGCTTAAGCCCTTTAACCATTCATTTTGTTCTAAAAAATCAGCCTTTCGCATGCTTAAATAATGCCTTTACCTAATTTGCATATTGCTGACATATGCAAATTAGGCAAATGCATTAATTAAGCATGCAAATAGCTGATTTTTAGGAGAAATGTAACTTTGCGTGAATAGTTAAGGAGCTTAAACTAAACCCAATTGTCTGAAATTTTGTACAGTAATTAAAAACCCGACAAATTTTTCATCTATTAACTCAAAATATGATTACAACTTTTAAATTTTGTGCGC